AGACAGAAACGCTTTGGGATCTACACGGGTTGGGCTATGTGAGCCACAAGAAGCTTCTCCACTGCCCCATAAGTTCAGGGATGCAGTCCATGGTGCCTTGTGGCTGGGATATACCTCCACGGCCTGTGGATACTGGCTGCTAGGAATCACAAATACAGAGGCAGCACTCTTGCACTCAACTCCCGCTGGTTGCACTGGTTTCCTGGTGGCATCTTGCTGCCCACAGTGGGAACAGGACGTTGCACTAACTGGGCCTTTGGCCTCATGCAGCAGAGCTCTTCCTACGTCAGGCTTAAGTCTTGTTAAGGTGGCTACAGACAGCAAAATGCATGGGGCAGCAATGGGGCAGGGAGGGAGCAGAGTTCAGCTTATGTTGATGAACCTTATACACCCCCCAAACAGTGGTCTACATTTCCACGTAAGAGGTCCCAGATTCAATTCTTCACATCTTCAGTGGAAAGGATCAGTGGCATCAAGGTATCTCCCCAAGACCTTTGAAGAGCTGCTCCCAGTCAGCTGCACAAAACGCTGGGCTGGGTGGACCAATACTCTCCGCTCAGAACAAGATAGTGCCACGAGCTTCGTATCAGAGATCAATAAAGGAGCCAGAGTGTGTTGGTGCTATCTCATTGGCTCAAGGCTGTAGATCTGTTTTTGGCAGCAGCCCAGATGAAAGGATACACCAGAGTGTCTGATTTCTACTTGGGATATTCATTTATTTTTCCTGTTAAAAACTTCTAAAAATATGAAAGCTAATTTAAAGTTGAAATGGATGAAGCCAGACACTTCAGACTTACGAAGCCCAGCACTCAAGGACTCCATGCAACCTTATTTTGTAACTCTGCTTTATAATCTGATACTGAATTCTATGTTGGTTGGTTTCACTCACTCAACTCTCTCTCACACACACACACCTTCCACCTTCCAAAATAACTCTACAATCAGGCTAAGTTATGTCAGTCACAAACTACTCCTATTACAGTTTATTCTGACTGCAACTATGAAGTGGGGTTGGTTTGTCATAGTTAACATTTTTGGCAGGAGCTGAGTTGTGGGCGGTGGAGGGGGGGAGAGGCGGAGCTAGGAGTAGGGATGACACAAACAGATTTCAACATGCTGCAAGGAAGTGATTGCAAGTCTCTCCCCTGCTGTTGATGTACATGCGTAAGAGACACAAATACTGTGCTTGTAATGAGGTTAATATAAATGTACAGCAAACAAAGGAAGGTGTAGTTACAGCTGCTTTTCACCCTCCTTGCAGTTTTCACTCGTCCAAAGATGCATTCTATCCAAACAAGATCTGAGTCCTCCAACATCTGTTTTGTAGACTCTCTCTTGTCCACAGTGACTCCCTTAACCCTATAACTCTGGTCCATCTGCATCATCCACACACCGACCCTTTCCTTCACTTGATCTACCCTCCACTCTGGTCTGCAATGAAACTGACCAGTTTCACTGGTGTGGAAGTCATTCCTGCTGTAGATGGATTGAAATGGAATGGAGAACTAGGTTCACCACCTTGAGCTCCTTGAATGACAGGCAGACTGTAAGGGCAATAATAAGCATTCCATTTTTACCACTGAAGTATAGGTCATTCTAGCTTAAGAAGGCCGCTACCCAAAAGCTCTTTCCCATCCACATGTTTCCCTCCATGTTAGTTTCCATTGGTCTTTCATTCCACAAATGAGTTGGGGGAATTAGGGAGAATGGTCAGCAGTTCATTTCCATGGGGAACATGTGGTGCATTGTTTAGAGCAGGAGGGGGGAACCTTTGGCCCTCCAGATGTTGGTGGCTCATCAGCTATAGTAAGCAAGTCAAATGGCTAGGGCAGATGAGAGATGCAGTTCATCAACATCTGGAGGGCCAAAGAACCCCCACATCTGAGTTAGAGTGTAGGACCAGGGATAAAATCCCCACTTGACCATGAAGCTCCCTGGGTGACCTTGGGCCAACTCTCAGCCCAACCTACCCCACAGGGTTGTTTGTGAGGACGATATAGGGAGAGAGGGAGACAAGAACGCCATCTTGTGTTCCTTGGAAGAAAGTTAATATATAAATGCAATAAACCAACAAGGTTGAGAAACGTCCAGGTCCTAACCACATTTCTGGAGTTGAGGTCTACCCACCCACCCTCAGGTAATTCTGGGGATTGCTGTATCCATGGATAGTGCTGGGTAAGTACAGATAACAGGCAGGGCTGTATCTTCAGGCTCTCACAACCTAACCAGACTTCAACATACAAGGAGTTTTCCTCCATAGGGCTTGTTTGAAGACCAAGGCACAACTGCCAGCAAGAGCCAGCCACTGTGCTGTAGCGGTTGAAGAGCCAGACTAAGCAGCAGCAAGATCCAGATTCAGATCCCAGCTGAGCTGTAAGTAATCAACTGTGTGACCTTGGGCCAGTCACTGTCCCTGGCCTAACCTGCTTTGCAGGGCTGCTGTGAAGCTCAAGGGGTGAGGACCTCAATGTGTAAGTCTAAGGTTAAAGAAATGGCAGCTCTTTGGAAGGCAGGAAAGGTACTATCCTAGATAAGGAAAGACAGGAGAGGAGGAGGAGAATGATCCGAAAGGGAGATTTTAATCAGTATGTTCCAGTCACTATACTTGGGCTTCTCTGGAAAGAAGCACCCCAAGTGTAACACTGATTATATCCCAAGGTGAAGACCAGGAAACTCAGCTTAGTTTAAAATCACCTTTATGCACAATTGGTTTAGCCTTGATGTTCCCCACCGAACTCCCCTTCTCCTTAAGGCAATTTCAAATCCTTTACGCTAACTCAGTCTTCCCCAACGTGGTGCCCTCCAGCTGTTTTGTGCTACAACTGGAGGAGACCAGGTGAGCAAAGGCTGGAAGAGGAGTCCAGCCAAAGAGAGAAAGTGGGAGCTCTGGTGTTGGGTGTTTTTTCCTTTTTCTTTTAAGTTATTATTAAAAGCCACTCCGGCAGGTCTTCTCCTCAGCCCCACTGGGGGATAAACATGTGCAATACACTCCTTTTATTTCATCACCAGCTTTGCTGCAAGTGTTTATGTCCAATCTTTTTTGCTCCTGAACTCGGGAGGCAACTGGGTTTGGGAGTTGATCAAAGGCAGCTCTCGGACCCTTTTGGAGGTGAGGGTCTTTGGGGGTGGGATGACATGCAGGCAAAAACAGCCGCAGGCAGCCAGAGAAATAAGCTGGGAATGAAGGTGGGGAAACAGACAGAGAAAGGGAGAATGAACGGCGCCAGCCCAACAAGCCCCCATAGGGACCACAGATCCCAAGAAACGGAGAGATGTTCTCTAAGGAAAGGAAGAGGAGCTGTTAACCAGAATGGTTAGTCTGCTGGACCCTCTTAGAAGTTTACTAAATCGTGCCTCAAACAAACAAACAAAGTGATTTCTTTAGGTCACCACGCACCAATGAGATTTCATAACTTATTGCTATTTCTCCGGGATCTCGGCGTGCATGGGAGGGGGGCGGCGTGGCAGACAGAGAGACAGGAGAGAGAATCGAAGACATAACAAACGCCGAGCGAGGCAAACACGCCGAGGGTGAGAGACGCACAACTCAAAAAACGACAACACAGATTTCCAAGCCGGCCTCCGCCTTCCTGTTCGCTCTCCAGCGAGTCAAAGGGAGGGAGAAGCTAAGCCGGGACCAGAGCTCTCTCCGAAGACCCTCTCCAGATGGGGATGAGCACAAGAAATATTATATATATACACTGTATATAACTGCATGTATAATTGCATTTTTATCATCGGATCAGCATGATCACAACAAAAAATATTCTTAAATTATATTGCTTTTTAAAAATAATAATATCACAGTGCTACTAGTTTTATTTATACAATTTTTTTATTAACAACTTCCTGCGAAACCAACTCGCCTAGAGCCCAATCGTGGGAGCGAAATAATGTCTAACGCAGCGGCGGCAGCGGGATCCAACCCACGTTTACCCAGAAGTAAGTCCCACCTAGTTCAAAGGGGTTTATTGCTAAGAAGCGCTGCCCTAGGTGCGGGAAATAGAGAGCCACCGATTTCCTGACGGTGGGTTTTATTCGGAGGGGGATGGGGAAATGAGACTTAAAAACAGCTTCGCGACGTTTAAAGAAATACTGTAGATGGATGCTAGGAAGGGGTTTCTCCTTCGTTTGAGAACACCGCCTCGAAACTCTGCCAAGTCGGCGAGAGCCCCGGCGAAGGCATCCGCGCCCCCATCACCCTCGCCCCCGGTTGCCCAGTTCGACGAGGCTCCTCGTTCCCACCGGCAGCGCGGACCGGATCGCAGCCTCGCGCAAGAGATCCGCTCGCCAACGAACTCCCTAGCCGGCAACATACAGAAAGGAGGATCTTTTTGTTGCTCAGGCGGAACAGCCCGGGAGAGCGATTCTCCCTGCTCTCCGGCGAGCGCGTGGACGGAGTTTCTTCCCCAGGAGACGCGCGCCGCCCGAGGAGGCGAGCGACCCTACCCAAGCCTGGCTCTGCTCCCCCGGCCCCACTCGCGTCCCCGGGCGCCTGCCGTCGTGCAAGGCTCGGGCGGGGAGAGAGCCAGCGAGCGAGCGCAGCCTGTTCTCCCCCCGCGGCGACAGCGACGCGCGCCCCTTTGTCTCTTCGGCAGACGGAGCGAGCCAGCAGGAAAGGAGAGCCGGAGAAAGTCTGCCGGAACGAGCCGCACCAGCCCGGCCTCGGTCACAGGGGCCCCCGCCCAGGCTGGCGAGGGTGGTCGCCGCCTCTGCCTCGGGCGCCCCTCCAGCAGAGCGCCGCCGCCTTCCCCCGCCTCCTCCCCACCTGCTCCCTCGCCAGCCAGCCAGCCAGCCGCGCGCCCTAGCCGGAGAGCCCCGGCCGTCCCCGTCGCGCAATCGGCTGGATCTCCCTTCAGCAGGCCGTGCTGACAACTCGGCCCTGGGACCCCCGAGCAGCGGATCTCCGGCCCAGCGCGAGGCCCCGCTGAAGAATCCGGCAACAAGCCCCCTCCTCCCCAATCGCTCCGCCGAAATACGCTCCAAAACCCCCCAGATAGGCCGCCGGCCGCCAAGTCTCGTGGCGCCCTGAGCGAGGGTCTCTCCCCAACACCGCCACCTCGAACTGCGTTCTCCCGGCTCCCCGAGCCAGCCAGCGGCAGCTTCCCGGGCGCTCTTCCCGACTCTGCCTCCGAAGAAGAAGAAGAAGAAGAAGAAGCCCCCGCCGAGGTGCATCCCAAAAGTTGGACGACGACGGGTCTCGGAAGCAGCCCGCCTCCGCCACTGCCGGCACTCGGAGCCGTCCAAAGCGCTACCGGCGAGGCTTTCCTAACCTTCTCCTGCACCGCTCGCGGCTCAAAAGTACGAAAGGGGGGGTCATTCTTTCCCCGCGCCCCAAGCCTATCACCTTCAAAGCCCCCACAACTTAGTCTCCCGTCACCGCACCCCGCACAGCCTCCAGAAGTCTCCTCGATCCCTCTTCTCTCCTTTCCCGACCCGTCCTCTCTCAACTTTGCGGTTCCGCCAGCCTCGCCTCCAAAAGGCAGCCCCGCAAACCTTCCGCATCTCGCGCCTCTCCTCACCCCTTCCTATCTCCGCCCCCTAGAACCCCATGCCAGTCTCTCTCTCCCCCCTTTCCCCACCCCACATTCCACTCGGTCTTGAAGGGTCCCCTTTGCGCCTCCGAACCCAGTTCTTGCGCCTTCGACAGCTTCGGGAGAGGAGATCTCTGGGCGCCTGCGCCTCCCCAAACACCCCACCGCCGCTCCACGGAGCCTCGCACCTGCAGAGGAACCCAGAAAGACGCCCGCCCACCCGTCTCCAAACACATCCTCACGGAGTCCTTTCCACCTCTGCCCTCCTCGACGGCACCGTTCCCACCAAGCCCGCTTTGTCCCCCCCACGCAAGTCGTCCTCCCTCCGTCCGTTACCACCCCGCCCCGGCTGCTCGGTTGTCCTGCCCGTCAAAGGCTCAGAGCTCAGCCAAAGTCCCTGGCTCGGGAGAAGGAGGAGGGAGGAAAAGAGAAACCGGGGGGGGGCGGCTCCCCGACGGCGCTGCACGGAAAGCCCCCGCGTGCCCCCTTTCCCTCCCCTGCTCGCAAGCCTGGCTCGTGGCCGGTGCCTGCTGCCCAGCCAGCTGCAAGCACAGCAGCGGGAGCAGCTGCTGCTGCTGCTGCTGCGAGCGCAGAGCCCGCTTTGCCCGCCCCTGCGAGTCTGCGACGCGCCGCGACTCGGCTCCCTGAATGACAGCTTACCTGCATGCCAATCTTCATCAGACTGACACCGGCCTGACAGCGCAGCCTATACTCACTGCCTGGCCCTGCCGCGCGTCAGCCCGGCCCCGCCCTCGACGGGCACACCTCCTCCTGCCGCCCGCGCACCGCCCCCAGCCCGGCCCCGAGCGCTGGTGCTCGACAGGCGAAGCGCGCACCCGCGCGCACTCGCGCTCCCAGCCGGCTTGTCTCCCCCTAGCGGACTCGCTCGCCTTTCAAGCGGCCGCCTCCGCTGCTAAGAGGGAGATCCTTTCCCAGAGCTTTTTGCCTGCTGGCGTCTAGAGATGCTCTCCCAGTAGGTCCCAAAACAGGGCGTCTCTATCTCTCTACTTTGAGGGAAGGAAGGGGCACAATCCGGCAGGTGCGGCTTGCCGGAAGGAAATCCTTGGTAGTTCTTCTTGCTCCAGTTCTGGAGGAATGTTGCGGCTTAAAGAGTTGCCAACTTATCGGTTTCTGTGCTCCAAACTGCACAGCACTGCCTGCCGTGATTCCGGCGGATTCCTGCCTGTTGAGGTTTCTGAAAAGGGCACACAGGACTAGGAGAGACTGGATTTTAATGCTGGTTGGTTGCCCCCACCCCGCCTGTATTTTTACCGGAGAGTGAGTCCCAAGGCTGTTCTCTTTCTTCGCGTTGCTGCGAGAGGGAAAGGGGAAAATAACATAACCACTTGTTGGTAGCTTTTGTTCGTTAAATTGGCAATTATCTCGCACTCCCTTCCCTGCCTCTGCTTAAAAAGGCCACAATACTGATGTTTTTTGGTAATATGCAAATTTATTTAAATTTAATTAACAATTAATCTGTCAGAAGGCGGAAGATCAATCAATTAAAATTCTTCAATCAGTGACAGCCCTGCTCAAATCTTTCATGATATTATTACAGTTCTTTGGAAACAGAAATAGGCTGGGATATTTTGGGAGGTAGGTGAGGAAGAAAAACAATGTGCTTTGGGGCTTTTGCCCTTCCAGATAAATCAGGGCTGGGGAACCTGTGGCCCTCCAAATTTTGTTGAACTTCAACACTCATCATCCAGCCCAGCTAGGCCAATGGTCAGCCATGATGGGAGTTGTAGTCCAACAGAATGTGGAGAGCCACAGCCCCCCCCCACTGCTTTAGACCAAAAGCATAAAGAGTACATGTTTACCCGGGAGGACATGTCTGAGCACACATTGTACCTTTGGTGCACATTCGCAGCACTTCCTTTTCCTCAGAGGATTCTGGGCACTGCAGTTTGTTAAGGGTTTCTGGGAAAGGTAACTCTGTGGTGCCCAGAATTCGTTGAGGGAAAGAACGTGCTGAAATGTGCTTTAAAGGTATAGTGTGTGCACAGCCCACGGCCAAATGTGAGACTGCCTCTGCACACTGAAAAGCTGCATGTAAAATATTCCACCATGTGCTACTTTCACGCTCACTGCTGTTCTGTGATAGGGAAAAAATATACCTGATGAAATGTTGCCTTCTATGCAACCTCCTAAGAAGTACAGTAGTACCTCGGATTAAGAACTTAATTCGTTCCGGAGGTCCGTTCTTAACCTGAAACTGTTCTTAAGCTGAGGTACCACTTTATCTAATGGGGCCTCCCAATGCCACCACATGATTTCTCTTCTCATCCTGAAGCAAAGTTCTTAACCCGAGGTACTATTTCTGGGTTAGCGGAGTCTGTAACCTGAAGCATCTGTAACCTGAAGCATCTGTAACCCAAGGTACCACTGTACAACAGCCTTCTTCATCATGTGGACCCAGGAATCCCTAGGCATTCTTATTGCTTGTCTTTCTCCTTCCTACCCTTTTAACAAGAGTTTTGTATTTAATTTAATTTCAGCCATGCTTGCGGAGCTGCAGGGAAAACACAAGCAACTGTATCTTACTTCCAGTTAGATTCCCCTCCTTGTGTTTCCTGCATGACCAGTGTCCTGTCTCGCACTGTCTGGTATGAACCAGGAGTACCATGTTGCAAAACTATGGGCTAGTGGCAAATTACTGTCTGGTATGAACCAGGAGTAGGATGTGGGTGGCGCTGTGGGTTAAACCACAGAGCCTAGGGCTTGCCAATCAGAAGGTCGGCGGTTCGAATCCCCATGATGGGTTGAGCTCCCATTGCTCAGTCCGTGCTCCTGCCAACCTAGCAGTTCAAAAGCATGTCAAAGTGCAAGTAGATGAATAGGTTCCGCTCCAGCAGGAAGGTAAACAGCATTTCCGTGCGCTGCTCTGGTTCACCAGAAGCAGCTTAGTCATGCTGGCCACATGACCCGGAAGCTGTATGCCAGCTCCCTCAGCCAGTAAAGCGAGATGAGCACCACAATCCCAGAGTCGTCTGCTTCTGGACCTAATGGTCAGGGGTCCCTTTACCTTTATGAACCAAGAGTTTGTTGTTGTTTAGTCATTTAGTCGTGTCCGACTCTTCGTGACCCCATGGACCAGAGCACGCCAGGCACTTCTGTCTTCCACTGCCTCCTGCAGTTTGGTCAGACTCATGTTTGTAGCTTCGAGAACACTGTCCAACCATCTTGTCCTCTGTCGTCCCCTTCTCCTTGTGCCCTCCATCTTTCCCAACATCAGGGTCTTTTCCAGGGAGTCTTCTCTTCTCATGAGGTGGCCAAAGTATTGGAGTCTCAGCTTCAGGATCTGTCCTTCCAGTGAGCACTCAGGGCTGGTTTCCTTAAGAAAGGATAGGTTGGATCTTCTTGCAGTCCATGGGACTCTCAAGAGTCTCCTCCAGCACCATAATTCAAAAGCATCAATTCTTCGGCAATCAGCCTTCTATGAATCAAGAGTACCATGTTGCAAAACTTTGCGCTAGTGGCAAATTACTGTTATTGTTGCTCTTAACCACCACCCAAACAAAACAAAACAAAACAAGAGTTTTGTATAACCAACTTACTACATTCCTATGGAGACTTGTATCAGAAGCTGCCTTGGTACCAAGTCAGACCATTGGGTTCATCTAGTTCAGTGCTGTCTACACTGACTGGCAGCTGCTCTCTTGCATTTCAGACAGGGATCTCTACCAGCCCTACCTGGAAATGCCAAGGAATGACACAGGGACCTCCTGCATGGAAACTCAATCACTGAGCTACAGCCCATCTTATGGAAATAAAATTATTTTGCATTCCAGCTGTCACTGCAAAATAATGCCCCTCTCATTCCTTCTAATGATGCTTCCTTGCAAATGGCAATCGAAACCAAAATGGGGCAGAAAAACAAAAGGTATCAACACAGTTCTGGGTGCTCAAAATTTTGAAGAAGTGTGATTTTTTAAAAAAGTAATATTATAGAACTACCCAAAAAGGGACATAAATCCTCCCAAATCAGTGTGATGTTGAATTGAGTGACTAAAGGGAAACTGATAAGGGAAGTGGGGCTGTGAATTGTCATGCTTCAGCCCCTAATTATAGCATCCCAGAGGAATGGTCGGTATCCTTAAACCCTGAGAATGAGCGAAGATGTACTGCAGCAGTTTGTTGCAACTTCCATTTATGAATGTCCAGATTTTTGCCTTTTGAATATACCTTATTAAAACAGTGCTAGTACTAGTTTCAGGGGTTTTTGTCATTCATTGCCCTTTCCACAATCCCAATAAGTCCCTGAGTGGCACCTGAGGCTGCATCTTGTTCCTAGTGCTGAAAAATCCATGCGCATGAACACCACGGCACAAAGCAGCACATAGGTCTGCCATGATTCGTGCCAGTTCTCTTCCTCATCCTGTCTGCCATGCATTTTTAAAAATCCTGTTCTTAAAACGCTTTCTAAAGATACATTCCTGTCCCCCACCCACCCACCCCTCCACTCTATATGCTCTGACAAATTGGCTGTTAAAATTCCTTCTCCCTGCCAATAGGCACAAGGGGAACTCTGCAAAGTCATCTCAGCTCTTTCATGACTCTCTTCTCCAAAAACAACCAGCTCTCCTGAAAAGCAAACATCTCTCTTAGAGCAGCAGGGCTCCTCAATGAGCATGATGGACATTTAACTGCTTCCTAAAATATTATTTCAGTTTCCCCTGGTCTTGATATTAGAGAAAAGAAGGTCGCATTAACCCCACTAGGACAGCGTTGCCAAGATACCTGGCTCCTTCTTCTGCATTTAATGGGCACCTTACAACACAGCCCTATGCAAATCCCACTGTGTTTAATAAGTCCTACTCACAAGTAATTGTATGTAGCATTGCAGCCTTAGTTGCCAGCTAGTTGCTATTGCCTGTACATTTACTATACCCCCTGCCCGTACAGACCAGTCTTGCCAGACTCTAGGGCTGTGCGCCCATCTCACTCAAGAGGCCGGGGGCCAGCGCTGTCCGGAGACACTTCCGGGTCACGTGGCCAGTGTGACATCGCTGCTCTGGCGAGCCAGAGCCGCACACGGAAACGCCGTTTACCTTCCCGCTGGTAAGCGGTCCCTATTTATCTACTTGCACCCGGGGGTGCTTTCGAACTGCTAGGTTGGCAGGCGCTGGGACCGAACAACGGGAGCGCACCCCGCTGCGGGGATTCGAACCGCCGACCTTTCGATCGGCAAGCCCTAGGCGCTGAGGCTTTTACCCACAGCGCCACCCGCGTCCCGTACATTTACTATAGTTGCTTTTATATACTGCATTTATCATTGCAATGCCATTTCTGTGGCTCTAGTGTTGTAGTTTTAAACTTAGTTTTGTACTGTATTTTGATTTTGTTAAGCCTCTATGGGTTTTGCACAATAGAAAAACAGACGTTTTGATGGTGATGGTTGCGTTCAAGTAGCAGATTCAGTCCTAGGAGTTCTGTTCCCTATGCAGCCAAAATCAAACCATCCAGGAACAAGAGGGAAACCCCAAAGTTTGTGAAAGTACAAAACAAACACCCTTTAGGGGAGAAAAGCAGCACTGGAGGCAGGATGGAAATGCGAAAGGGTGGAATGGAGCACTCTGGAAAGGGGCATGGCTGGCTGGCTGGCTGGCACCCTAAACCAGATCACTCGGTGCTGCAACATTTTGTTGCAGTTCCTACTTGTAAAGACATCAAAGCAGTTTGCTCTGCAGACATCAGTGAATGAAGCTTTTCATTACACAGAGCTAAATGTAAGCACCTGCTCCTGTCGACGCATCAGACTGCTGTTATTGGCCTACGGAGAAAAGGCCAGTTAAAATAAAAACAAAAAACTTGGCAACTCTACTCTGGAACAACTTTTTTAAAAGTCATGATCTGGAGTTGCAGCAATAGGTGGACCAGATGCAAAAAGGGACAGGGGTTCTGTGCAGAAGAGATTAGCAGTGGGAAGACCAGATACAGAGCACAACAGGTATTCTGTGTAGAAGAGACCTTATATCCTCTCAGAGCTGCAGTGTTTCCCAGAGTTTCCTGGGGAAAAGGATTGATTGTTAAACTACTCTGAAAAGTGTTGCTTTGGGAGAGGGAATAAAAAGGTAACAGAACCTGACAGTTAAGTCCAGTTGCGAACGACTTGGGGGTTATGGCGCTCATCTGACTTTACAGGCTGAGGGAGCCGGCGTTTGTCTGCAAACAGTTTTTCCAGGTCATGTGGCCAGCATGACTAAGCTGCTTCTGGCGAAAGCAGAGCAGCACATGGAAACGCTGTTTACCTTCCCGCCAGAGCGGTACCTATTTATCTACTTGCACTTTTTGGGGTGCTTTCGAACTGCTAAGAGAGCCAGTGTGGTGTAGTGGTTAAGAGCGGTAGTCACGTAATCTGGGGAACCGGGTTCGTGTCTCCGCTCCTCCACATGCAGCTGCTGGGTGACCCTGGGCCAGTCACACTTCTTTGAAGTCTCTCAGCCCCACTCACCTCACAGAGTGTTTGTTGTGGGGGAGGAAGGGAAAGGAGATTGTTAGCCGCTTTGAGACTCCTGAAGGGGAGTGAAAGGCGGGATATCAAATCCAAACTCTTCTTCTTCTTCTTCTTCTTCTTCTTCTTCTTCTTCTTCTTCTTCTTCTTCTTCTTCTTCTTCTTCTTCTTCTTGGTGGGCAGGAGCTGGGACCAAGCAACGGGAGCTCACCCCGTCGTGGGGATTTGAACCGTAACCACTGACCCTAGGGCTTGCCAATCGGAAGGTTGGCGGTTCAAATCCCCGCGATGGGGTGAGCTCCCGTTGCTCGGTCCCTGCTCCTGCCAACCTAGCAGTTCAAAAGCACGTCAAAGGGCAAGTAGATGAATAGGTACCGCTCTGGCGGGAAGGTAAACGGTGTTTCCGTGCGCTGCTCTGGTTCGCTAGAAGCAGCTTAGTCATGCTGGCCACATGACCCGGAAGCTGTACACCGGCTCCCTCGGCCAATAAAGCGAGATGAGCGCCGCAACCCCAGAGTCATCCGCGACTGGACCTAATGGTCAGGGGTCCCTTTACCTTTACCTAACAACTCTCAGCACCCTTAACAGATGACAGCTCCCAGGATTCTTTTGAAGAAGCCATGACTGTTTAAAGTGTTTGGTACTGCTTTAAATTTAAATTTTAGTGCAGGTGAGGCCTCAAACTCACCTGTCTGCTAGCGCAAGAGCCCTTGCAACTAGCAGATGGAGAAGAGTGGATTAGGCCCTCTTTGAATAAAATTATGAAGTAAGAATTATGTACTGAATTATGTAGAAAATTTCAAACTTAGAAAGCGGGGAGTAATCATACAGTTATGTTTTGTGGGCTAGTTTTAAAATGGCGTACACCATGTAAATAGCTCCAAGTCTGCATCCATTAGCAAAGAATAATAATACATTGGCTGTTTTCATATTTTGAAGGGGAAGGGACTCGATCTCTCATTATTCTAGCTCTGTGGTTTAAAGCAGAGAGCAGCACAATTGGTCAAATTCGGAGCCATTTGCTCATGTTAATTTCCTGCCAATTTCTTTCTTTCTTTTTTCAAAGATGCAATTAAGGAACCAGATAACTTGAAACATTTCTGCTGCTGCTTTTTTTTAATGTTGAGATGGATTATAATCCTAATTTGAAAATGCTTCTTAATGGACCATTAGCCACCCTTGACTTCTTCTCGGGTCAACTAAATACCTCCCACCACTGCGAGGCAGTTGGCAGCAAGAAGATAACAGCGCTCACCTCATTAGATATTATTGCTTCAGCAGCAGTGGGGGTTTTTTTGGGGGGTGTCTTTTTTTTTTTTAAGTAGAGTAAAGTAAAAAAGGGTGACAAGAGACAACAAACCTCAACTATCACAAAGATGGATTCATGGTCCTCTAGAAGTTAACCCGTAATCTCCCAACTTACTCAGAACAAACCAAATGAAATCAATAGACTGATGTTATCTAGGCCCGTTGATTTCAATGGGTCTACTCTTAGTATGGCTAACATTGGCGAGCACCCTAAACGTTCTGCAAAAGTTTGACTAGTAAATACTTTGCCAGTTTATGATTATACTTTGCTGCATGTGTGCCAGAAAGAGAGAGAAAGAATGAGGAAAATGGCACATGAGAAGAAGAAGAAGAGTTTGGATTTGATATCCCGCTTTATCACTACCCGAAGGAGTCTCAAAGCGGCTAACATTCTCCTTTCCCTTCCTCCCCCACAACAAACACTCTGTGAGGTGAGTGGGGCTGAGAGATTTCAAAGAAGTGTTGACTAGCCCAAGGTCACCCAGCAACTGCGTGTGGAGGAGCAGGGAATCGAACCCAGTTCACCAGATTACGAGTCCACCGCTCTTAACCACTACACCACACTGGCTCCCTGAGTTAGCATGTGGGGTGGTCTGTGTGTGTGAGAGAGAAAGAGAGTCTAGTGTGAGCCTGTAAGCATTTGGGGGGAGGAATTGTTTGCATGTAGACGTGCGATTCCCTCACTTGTGGTTGTCTGAAGGTGTTGCCACGCCAACCTTTTGGCCATGCCACCATTGACAGGTGATCCCTGAAGAGTTTATCATGGGACATTGTGCTCTCTGACCAAACCTGCTTGGCTAAAAACACCAGGCCCAACAAATGATCCCTTTACAATATGCTCAAGCCTTTTCTGAAACAGTACTAATTTGCAGAGAAAGCGTCGTGTGATGGGCTGCTGTTAAGACACGGAGTGGGAACCTGTGAGCCTTCGAGATGTTGTGGAACCACAACTGCCATCACCCTCAACCAGCTGGCAAGGGTGAACAAACCCAAAGGCCAACCATTTCTGGAAGGCCAAAAGTACAGCCTTTCCCTGCCTGCAACGAGAAGCTGCAAAATATATTTGCGTGTATAAGGAGCTAAAGGTGAGTTTTCTTGATGCAATTAATAATGATTTGTGTTGACGGGGTTTGCTGGGTCACTGGCTTCCTTCAAAGAATAAATCTGTTGGACTAGCAAAGCCACCATGTGGTCCACTATAAGACCCCCCAAAAAACAACAACAACAACAAAACGACCCACCTTTGATTATGTGACACTGAAAGAAGAGGAAGGAAGAGAAAGACAACAGAAGGCATGTGGGAGGAAGGACAAGCAGCCATTTGTGGGGAAAGCGTGCCAGAAATTGTTTTTATTTTGGCTATTTATTTTCCAGGGCACACTTTGCCAAGCAGCTGCCCTCAAATGTTATTAGCCTCTGCCTGCTCCCTGGCTGTTTCTGTGCAGGATGATCAGACAGGTGTTTTTTCAGCATCATGAATAAAGGTAGCCTCTTACAACATGACCCACACAAGCGAAAAGAGGAAAAGCATCACCCCAAAGTTTGCATATGCTCATTTGATGTACAGGTGCAAATTTAGGGATAACATAATTTGAATAGAAATCAGGTACATTTGACCAGGTGACCTGTATACCTCCTTGGTCTGCTGTCCAGCTGCCCACTACTGACCGCCTTATTTCAAGGTCCCTCTTGCTTTCCCTTCTTACAGTTAGCGTATTTTTCGCTCCATAAGGTGCACCTGACCGTAAGGCGCACCTAGTTTTTAGAGGGGGGATTCAAGAAAAAAAATTTATTTAAAGGGAGCGCTGAGCAGAGCCTGTATGCATCCCAAGAGCTGTGCAGAGCTTGTGTGCAGCTCTTGGGGGCTTTTCCTGCCTGCCTCCCCCCTGCATTCTCTCCATAAGACGCACACACATTTCCCCTTACTTTTTAGGAGGGAAAAGGTGTGTCTTATGGAGAGAAAAATATGGTACTTATCTTTAAGCCAGACTTGCACCAAACAGCTTTCCAAAAAGAGGATCGTGCTCTGTAAAGTAGGAGACATGCCCACACTAAACCTACAGCTTTCTTTGTGGGGCTTCTTTTGGCTATCTGTGACATCTCAAGCGATGCTCAGGCTCCCATTTCAAGTTGCATGCTGTGTAAAAACCAGCACGTCTACCAAGTACAGATTTATTCTGGAGGGTACTCATAAAATGGCAGTGGGGGGGGGGTTGGTCCATCTAGGTCAGGACTGGCTGCAGCTTTCTGGGGTCTCAGGCAGGGGTCCCTTCCAGCCCAATCTGGACTGAACCCAGTACATTGTCAATGTATACAGTGGTACCTTGGTTCTCCAAATGCCTTGGCACTCAAACAACTTGGAACCCAAACACTGCAAACCCAGAAGTAAGTGTTGCAGTTTGCGAACTCTTGTTTTGAGTGTTATGCTTCTGTTTTGAGTTTTACGCTGAGGTCTGTCTGTTTTTGCTGTTTATTTTGCATTTTTGTTTTTGCAGCTTTTTGCTTTGTTTCTTGTGACTGTGTGGAACCCAGTTCAGCTGCTGATGGATTGATTGCAGTACGTTGTTTATTGCTTTCATTTTATGGAGAAATGGTCTCGTTAGATAGTAAAATTCATGTTAAATTGCTGTTTTAGGGGTTGTTTTTAAAAGTCTGGAATGGATTAATCCATTTTGCATTTCTTTCTATGGGAAAGTGAGCCTTGGTTTTGGAACCATTTGGTTTTGGAATAGACTTCCAGAACAGTTTAAGTTTGAGACACTGTATACATATACAGTGGTACCTCGGGTTACATATGCTGCAGGTTACATACGCTTCAGGCTACAAACTCCGCTAACCCAGAAATAGTACCTCAGGTTAAGAACTTTGCTTCAGGATGAGAAGAGAAATCGTGCTCTGGCAGCGCAGCAGCAGCAGGAGGCCCCATTAGCTAAAGTGGTGCTTCAGGTTAAGAACAGTTTCAGGTTAAGAACGGACCTCCGGAACGAATTAAATACTTAACCCGAGGTACCACTGTATAAATTTGTTCAGTCACTGAGCTTTGGCAAGTATCTGCTCACTCTGTGCAGTGAATCATCCCCTCTTATACACAAATGTCTGCATCTTCATAGGCAATCGTCATAGAATCCATTTATTGCTTTTATATCCCACCTTGTTTCTCCCCAAGGAGCTCAAGATGGTGCACAAAGAATTGTAGAACAGAATGGAAGGGTTGGAAGGGACCTGGGGGTCATCTAGTCCAACCCCTGCAACACAGTAATCTCAACTAAAGTATCCATTACAGATGGCCATCCAACCTCTGCTTAGAATATACCTGTATACCTGAAGGAGCGTCTCCACCCCCATCGTTCTGCCCGGACACTGAGGTCCAGCACTGAGGGCCTTCTGGCGGTTCCCTCACTGTGAGAAATGAGGATACAGGGAACCAGGCAGAGGGCCTTCTCGGTAGTGGCACCGGCCCTGTGGAACGCCCTCCCACCAGATGTCAAAGAGAAAAACAACTACCAGATTTTTAGAAGACATCTGAAGGCAGGCCTGTTCAGGGAAGTTTTTAATGTTTAATAGATTATTGCATTTTAATATTCTGTTGGAAGCCGCCCAGAGTGGCTGGGGAAGCCCAGCCAGATGGGCAGAGTATAAATAATAAAAATATTATTATTATTATTAACCTTCAAGGAAGGAGTCTTCCACCTCCACTGTTGAACATCTCTTGCTGTCAGAAAGTTCATTCTGATGTTTAGCCTGTTAGACGCTTTCAGGAGGGAGAATCCTGTGCTTGCCTGGTATCCTTAATGCTCTTTCCCCAGAGAGGTATATGAGGATTGGATTTAAGAAAACAGCCTGAACTTTTGTAACTGTGCAGCTGCACTTATGAAGAAGTGTAGCCTGAACTTCAGCTGGGCTTTCCCTTTTTTTGCTGTCTCAGGATGGCGTTGCTTGAAGGATTGAGCCCTAAATCAACTTTATGGGAGCCCACAGTCAGTGATTGCTCCAAAGTGTCATGACATTTTTCTGGGCAACTGCAATAAAGATATCGACCAATCTTTTTAACTTGGGAGGATGAGCCTCTGGGCATCAGGCTAGTTTTGAGAATTACTGACAATAATAGAGCGTGCCTCAGTTGGAGGCAGTCAAATAAAAAATATAACGGGTGTAGAAATATGCTAGCCATCAAACAGAGGGAGACTTCTCTTTGAGGTGGTTCACAAGAGCAAGTCATTAATAAATTGAACTGTTTTAGGGGGAGGCAAGAATCTCCACCCAAGTCTAATACCATACTTTAAAGGTTCTGTTGGTGAAAATGGATATCCAGAGCTAAACAAGGTTTGTGGCTTCCTCTTTTTTTCTAGCAAACAAAATTTCCCAGATCACTGAAATTGTGCAGAAAATATTATTTCCCCTGCAAAGTAGGTCATAGGAAAAGGTAAAGGTCCAGTCGCAGATGACTCTGGGGTAGTGGCGCTCATCTCACTTTATTGGCCAAGGGAGCCGGCGTACAGCTTCCGGGTCATGTGACCAGCATGACTAAGCCGCTTCTGGCGAACCAGAGCAGCGCACGGAAACACCGTTTACCTTCCCGCTGGAGCGACACCTATTTATCTACTTGCACTTGGACATGCTTTTGAACTGCTAGGTTGGCAGGAGCAGGAAATGAGCAACGGGAGCTCACCCCGTCGCGGGGATTCGAACCGCCGACATTCTGATCGGCAAGTCCCAGGCTCTGTGGTTTAGACCACAGAGCCACCCGCGTCCCTTAAAGCAGCCCCTTCCCATATCGGCAGCATTGAGAAGATTGGCAAAATAACAACAAAATAATGGAGATGAGCACACTGACTACGCAAAACCACAACGTGAGAGTTAAATTTTAGCCATAGCCACATTCAGTGGAAGTGGGGGTGCGGCAGTGATACCTAGTTTAGCAATAATACAGTTTCGCCACATGGGTTGCGCTGTAACCCCACAAATTCTGCATTGCAGGAATCGCCAAACCTTTTGGGGTGCATTTGCAAACCAGAGAAATTGTTGCGGGTAGCATGCACGACAATTGCATGCATGCATAGCAATCACACTCACCACAATTACCGTATTTTTTGCTGTATAAGACTCACTTTTTCCCTCCTAAAAAGTAAGGGGAAATGTGTGTGCGTCTTATGCAGTGAATGCAGGCTGCACAGCTATCCCAGAAGCCAGAACAACAAGAGGGATCGCTGTGCAGCAATCCCTCTTGTTGTTCTGGCTTCTGAGATTCAGAATATTTTTTTTTCTTGTCTTCCTCCTCCAAAAACTAGGTGCGTCTTATGGTCTGGTGCATCTTATAGAGCGAAAAATAGGGTACACATAACCACTGCAAACACATGCACACCTAAAATGCATAAGGAATTGGCATTTTTAAAGATTTCTTTTAAAAGCTTTATTTGGCCTGGGATGGCGGTGGCAGCACCGATTTTCCTATTGATTGTAACCAGGGAGAGAAGATTCACCCTTGTTTCTTTCAACACCAAATTCAGAAAGGGGGGGTTAACACAGAGCAAGACCCTCAGGGTGCTTCATGGCTGCAACGTTGACAAGCCATGCTGTATCACAGAGCAAAGAGATACTGGCCACATCCCAGCCAATATGAAGCGCATTTGAGTCCCACTGATTTCAGTGGGAAGGTTAAGGATGAGCTGAAATGCTCTCTGTTAATTGAAATTAATGGGACTTGAAAGCATTTCACTTTGGCTGAATCATACCTGTTGTATTCAGAAGTACATTAGAGAAGAAATATAAATGACTCTTTGGGCTTAGACAGAAGAGGGAAACGGCAAGGCACAACAACTTAATAGCGGTCCATTTGGATTTTAGTCCACCAGTTTTATCTGTGGCTCCATCGTTACCTTCTGGGGAGAAGTTGCAGCTGAGTGATAGAACAACTGGGTGGTGTGCAGAAGGTCCCAGGTTCATTCCTTGCCATCTCCAGGTTGCGGTGAGGGAAGACTCCTCTCTAGAAAGCAGCTGCCAGTCAATGGCAGACAATACAGGTGGACTTTTGGCCCATCTAGCTTGCTGTGGTCCTATGTTTCCAATGTTGTTAATAATCATCAAAGAGTCTAAGCTAGAAATAGCCTCCCCAGAAAGAGAGTGTGTGTCATATTCATATCCAAAGGTATGCAGGTGCTATAGGTTCCTCCTAATAGCATGTCATCAGGCAAGGGCTTTCTCCACCTGCCTTGCCCCACCCTCAAGGCCTAGGAGCCTTTCCCAGACCGTGACTTTGAGAGCAGCGGAAGCAGATGGGAAGAGAAAAGAGCAGTTCTGGGATATTTTTTTAAAAGATAATTTTATAAGTTGTGTGTCCTTGTTTCCCAGTTTGATCCTTTTGCATGGTTTTGTGGCGCTTTATGCATTGTGACTTGCTGTTATTTTTACTGATCATACCGTATTTTTCACTCTATAAGACGCACCAGACCACAAGACGCACCTAGTTTTTGGAGGAGGAAAACAAGAAGAAAAAAAATCTGAATCTCAGAAGCCAGAACAGCAAGAGGGATCGCTGCGCAGTGAAAGCAGCAATCCCTCTTGCTGTTCTGGCTTCTGTGATAGCTGCGCAGCCTGCATTCACTCCATAAGACACACACACATTTCCCCTTACTTTTTAGGAGGGAAAAAGCGAGTCTTATAGAGCAAAAAATACGGTAGTTTAGTAATTCTTTATTGAAATTGATAAGTGTAAACTATTATTTTCTGATATTTAATTTTACTGTCTACTATTCTATTCTACGGGGACGCAGGTGGCGCTGTGGGTTAAACCACAGAGCCTAGGACTTGCCGATCAGAAGGTCGGCGGTTCGAATCCCCATGACGGGGTGAGTTCCCATTTCTCGATCCCTGCTCCTGACAACCTAGCAGTTCAAAAGTACGTCAAAGTGCAAGCAGATAAATAGGTACCACTCCGGCGGGAAGGTAAACAGCATTTCCGTGCGCTGCTCTGGTTTGCCAGAAGCGGCTTAGTCATGCTGGCCACATGACCCGGAAGCTGTACGCCGGCTCCCTCGGCCAATAAAGCGAAATGAGCGCCCCAAACCCAGAGTCGGCCACGACTGGACCTAATGGTCAGGGATTCCTTTACCTTTACCTTTATTCTATTCTAATGGATTATTGAACGTTGTTTTATTTGATACAAGTTGTTTAAAGTTATCGTGACTTTTTTGTTTTGGATCAGATTGTAATTATTAATGTTTGATGTTCTAATATGTAGGGGTTTTTTATGTGTTGGAAGCCGCCTAGAGTGGCTGGGGAAACCCACCAGATGGGCATGGTATTATTAGTAATAATAAATGACACCTAAGAATGGTCCATCACCTTGTACACAAAAGACCCATCCAAGCAGTCAAGGTTTTTTTTACATCATCAACATCAGAAAATTGGCTGACGTGTGGGCTCTGCTTTTTCATCATCCTCTTATTTGTCAATTGATAGCCAACTCTGTAGATTTCTCCTGGATCTGCAACTTTACCATATGAAAGTTGCACTGTCAGGCATTTCAATGGATAACTTTCTGATACTCTGTGAATTAGGCGAATTTGGGAAGGGCTGCAGCTCAGTGGCACAGCATCTTTCATGCAGAAGGTTCCAGGTTCAATCTCTGGTATCGCCAGACCTTCATTCAAATGAATGAATACACGCCTTCATTTGAAGGACTCCTCTATTTGAAGGGATGTCTCCCAGTCTTAAAGATAAAGAACCATAAGAAGGAAGAGCCTTTAAGTCGCCCCTCCACTGTTAATATCTGGACAGCTAAGTGTGCAGGCACATAGATTACCTGATTGTAGTCTTCACCACTGCAATGAGATGTATTGTAAAGGTAAAGGTAAAGGTACCCCTGCCCGTACGGGCCAGTCTTGACAGACTCTAGGGTTGTGCGCCCATCTCACTCAAGAGGCCGGGGGCCAGAGCTGTCCGGAGACACTTCCGGGTCACATGGCCAGCATGACATCGCTGCTCTGGCAAGCCAGAGCCGCACACAGAAACGCCGCTTACCTTCCCGCTACTAAGCGGTCCCTATTTATCTACTTGCACCTAAGGGTGCTTTCGAACTGCTAGGTTGGCAGGCTCTGGGACCGAACAACGGGAGCGCACCCCGCCGCGGGGATTCGAACCGCCGACCTTTCGATCGGCAAGCCCTAGGCGCTGAAGCTTTTACCCACAGCGCCACCCGCGTCCCATTTTTTTGTATTTCCCCCCATTGTATTGTATTTCCCCCCAATTATCACAATTATTTCTAAATTTGCATTTGTCCATCTAAATCAGCACATGCACCTTTTATGCAGATCTGTGTCTTCTTTTGTCCTCTTTTTCAGTGATGTGTAAGCTGCCACCTTAAAGAATGCCTTATTTCCATTTGTTCTGCAATTTCTAAACTACCCTTCATCAAGGAGATCCACAGGTAATTTGCTCCTGGAGCCTCTGGGCCCCTGCTGCTCCTTCTCCTTGCCATCACTGCCCTCCACTTGCTCTCAGTTATACGAATCAGGCCGAATCAGGGCGTGCAACAACATCTTCCAAGCTTTCTTTGCACACTCTCTCTGGTCGGTTGTACACAATGGGCCCAGACAGAGAGGACAAACAGGAGGAGGAGTAGATTGCCCCATTCCAGGATAGGGGAGGTAATTTTACCCAAGCTCCTTCCCAAAAAAACCAAGACCAACTAGGGTGCCTCCAGACTGTCACTATTTTATGAGTGGGGTTCAAGCACATACTGAAACTTTTACTTTGTGCCGTTAAAGTTGATTAAAGCACTGTATCACCCCAGCGCAACAAATTCACCTTTTTAAGAATCGGACATTTTGCTGTTTGGAAAGTTACAGGGAAATCCATTGGAAAGGGTGGGATGAATGAATGACTGGCGGGAAGATGGATAAACACCGTGCAAGGAAATCAAGATGAAAGCAAGACAAATGTTCATTGTTGTAAAACCAAACAAATCAGTATGCCCAGTAAAAACTGGATACAGTATAACAGCCATATACTGTCTTTTTCGCCCTATAGGGCGCACCGGCCCATAGGGCGCACCTAGTTTTTTTGGGGAGGAATAAAGAAAAAGACTTTTATCCCCCCCCCCAGGCGTGGGGCTGGGGCGGGGGAAGCCCGAGCTTCCCCCGACCCCAGCCCCCAGAACAGGCTGCTCTCCGCAAGCCTTGGGAGCCCGGCGGAAACTCCCGCCGGGCTCCCAAGGCTTGCGGAGAGCTGCTCGAAGGCTGGAGTGTGCTCCGCTGCGCTTCCTGAAGCCTGGAGAGCGGGAGGGGTCGGTGCGCACCAACCCCTCTCGCTCTCCAGGCTTCAGCGAAAGCCTGCATTCGCCCCATAGGACGCACACACATTTCCCCTTCATTTTTGGAGGGGGGAAAGTGCATCCTATAGGGCAAAAAATACTGTAAGCTTAGACAAACAAATCAGGATGAATATGTTGGAGATAAGTAGCAAAGCAAATGCATAGTCTTGCTAGTTAGCATGAGAAGAGGTTAAGTCCACAGAGCTATATTGCTGTTAGGCAGATACTCAGACCATAGAAATACAACTGGTAGACAGAGCTCATTTCCACACTCCTCCTGGAGAGGAAGGAGTGCATAGTACTTCCTGTTCCTTTCTCTCTCTTCCTTTGACCAGCATTGGATTCAGACATGCCTCTGCTTACTCCAGCTTATGTACACACCTGAAGCTGGTTATACTGTTAATTTTAAGTATTTTGCATGGACCGGCGGAGTCCCCCCAACCCCAGGCGACCCCCGAGCAGAATAATGACTCAAGACAACATGCAATGGGATTAAAATTGGCCACATCTTTATTAAGTTTCAGATGTAGGGAGACCTTGGCTCAGGCATTGGGCATTTATCCTTCCCAGTCCCCAGCCAGGGATCTTACATGTAAATCTTACATTTAAACTTACTTTACAAGTTGTTGCCTGATTCTTTGTTGGGGGGGGGGAGAAGGGGGAAGCCAGCTTACCTCATAGCTAGACTTGCTCTAAACAAGGTTACCTATAATTTAAATTTTGCTGCCAAGGACAGGATGTTGAAACTCTGTTCAACCCACACACATGGGTGCCTGGAGGGATAAATTGCAATTAATATAGCTTTTCCTACCCATTAAAACCCATCCCACAGAATGGTGACTGGCCAAGTAGTCTGGAGCATTCCCGTGTGATTTACCAGAAAAAGAACTCAGAAAATAAGGACTCTCTCTAGGAAACAGGGACAGTTGGAGTATGTGAGATAATCCAATGGGCGATGTTACATAAGAACTGGCCTGCGCACATGGATATTGCATAGGGGTGGTTGGAAGGAGGCAGGAAGGCAAGCAGGCAGATGCTTGCAAGCTAACAAGGCTTCATCTTTTGCTGAGAGCTGTGAAGAAACAGGTCACTGAGTCCTGACACTGCAATCACTAAGCTTTGACACAGCCTCCTTGATACTGCACCAAGCCTTCCTACTGTAAATCAAAGGGATATTATTCAGCCAATGAGACAGATGGAGGAGATGTCTTCGCAAGACACAGCCAGATTGCTATCAGTACAGCGTGTCAGTATGACAAACATCATTCGAAGAATAACTTGGAGTGACTCCCTTCTCTCCCTCCCCGTCAGGGTGCCTTTAGAGAATTTTTTTTCCAGGGGGTGGGGGGGTGGGAAACAATGATTTATAATAATTTCTCACTGTTCTGGGCTTGGAATACAGTAGAGACCTCGGAGTGTCTTGTAAATCAGAAAACAGGATGGTCCTCACACACTCATTATTATTCTACAAGAGCAAGGCAAGACAAGGAGCTATAAAACTGTCTTCAGTGCTAAGTTGTTTCGGTTGGATTTGGTGCCAGATAAAAAAAATATTTTTAAAAAATGAAAAGTGGGGGCGGGGGGGGGGAGTCTAGCTTTTTGGCGACGGCATAATTGGAATAGGATCAGTAAGTAGGGGAAAGCAGAAAATCTCCGTCTTGATATGCAAGTCATAGTAAGAGTTTGCATATCATTTTCTTAGGTGGAGGGGGGATGAAATGAGAAGTGAAACTACCACAAAAAAATGCAAATTCTTACGCAGGTCCAAGAATGACATTCCAACACTATTAGTATGGACTGGAAACGTTGGCCCCCAGGCCTCTCTAACTGGCCCTTGGAACTCTCCTCCCCAAGGCACACCCCTCATCAGCCTTGGTCAACATCCCCTTTGAGTGTTTTTGCCTGGTTTGAATGTGTCCTTGAACATTGATAATAACTCCTGCTTGCCTAGATGGGGGATAGAAAGGGCTGTGCAAATGTTCGTTGAAACGCAAAGGTAAAATTTATATTCATTGCTCCGCCCACTTTTTGCTGGCTTGTGGCCCTCGAGAGGTTGCCCAGAAGCAAATGCAGCCCACAAGCTGAAAAAGATTCCCCACCCATCTTCCCTGATTGGCAGCAGCTCTCCAGGGTTTCATACAGGAAAGCTTTCCCAGCCCTACCTAGAGATGCTGGGGATTGAACCTGGAACCCTGTGCGGTCCAAGCAGATGCTCTACCAGTGACCTATCGTGATGGTGGTTTAGGACAGGTAGGGATGCTGGTAATTTCCATCAGACATGGAAAGGGGACTGGAAATTGCCACAGTTCGCATTGTTGTCAGAGGTCGGGAGTGGAAATTAGGTAAACAAATACAAGCAGTATTTGTTGTTGTTATATAAATTGTTGTTATATAAATAATTAGTTATATAAATAATTTTCTGCATTGTTTTCTCCCTTCTGTTGAAATGCATTGAAATTGATCACAGAATCAATCGATCACAGAATCAAACTACAGCAGAAATTGATGCAAGAAAAAGGTAGGCTTCAACAGCAACTGAACTGTAGCAGCATGGAAACAGTGCTGATTGCAGCAAACACAGCAGATGGAATTCCCAGGATGGAAATTCCCCGTGCAATATTCTTTCCTGAACCAGCTTTTCTCAAGCAGGCGTCTTTCTAATATCCACATGCACATGTATCCAAAAGCTTCACACCCACTGCAAATCACAGGAGTTGATTTGGTATATCCTTGTCTCTTTCTAGACCTAAAGAGGCATTTGGAGCCTTAATCCTTCACAGTTTATTGGGGTCAGCTGCAGTCTTGATTAACGCTGATCCCTTTTCTTTTTCTGAGAATATTTTCTTCCTACCCTGAGGGGAGAAAATTACTTCTGCAGAATTCCCCCCCCCCTAATATTCCCCACCATTTAAAAAATAGTGACCACCCCATCCCCTTCCCTATCTCCAACAAAACATTAGATCAAAATATAGCTCCAGAGCAATAATACCTTTGGTGTGGGGAGTTCACATTTAAAGGTGAACCTCCCCAATTTTCACTTTCCAAAACAACACATGAACCAAAGAACGCCTATCCTTCAAAATTCCCAATTTTGCAGTGTTCTTCTCCAGTCAAGTAATATGTACAGAAATGCATTACCAATGGTGAAGTGTGCATATATTAGCAAAAACAAGGTACAAAATGCATGGCTTTGGGGAAAAACATTCTATATTTTCCCAGTCTCTCATTTTTCCAGACTTAAGTTCATTCTCCATATCTCAACATCAGTTTTTGCCAGTGTGGTGTAGTGGTTAAGAGCGGTAGACTCGTAATCTGGGGAACCGGGTTCGCGTCTCCGCTCCTCCACATGCAGCTGCTGGGTGACCTTGGGCTAGTCATACTTCTTTGAAGTCTCTCAGCCCCACTCACCTCACAGAATGTTTGTTGTGGGGGAGGAAGGGAAAGGAGAATGTTAGCTGCTTTGAGACTCCTTCGGGTAGTGATAAAGCAGGATATCAAATCCAAACTCTTCTTCTTCTTTGTGGTGTCAGGGGGGGAAAGCACATGTTGTAAGTGTACTTAGCTCTTTATTCAAGGAAACAAGATATGCTCAGGAGGCCAGGTCTAGTGAGCACAACTGGTCTAGTGATCTAGTGGTCTAGTGAGGCCAGGTCTAGTGATCTCCTCCTCACCTGGATCCTTCCCAAACAATCTGAGGCTCCTTCATGTTGCCTGTCCTTTGCTCTGCCCTCTTTATACCTCTGTGTGTTCTGGGAGACCAGAGGGAGGGGAGCTGGTCACAGACCCACTGGCTTCTTCCGCTGCCTCTAAGTCTGGACGGCTCTCTGTCACAGCCTCTTCCTGCTCACTAAACCTTGTGGCCTCGTCAGCTTCCACCTCCTCCCAGCCTTCTCTCTCATTGCCGTCCCACCACCACCACTCATTGCCGTCCCACCACCAAACCCCTGGCTCTGACTTCTTCCCCTGGGGGTTCCTCAACTGGGGCCTCCTACCACTCTTCTGCATCCATCCAGTCTATGATTTTTAGGTTTAAATGCCCTCAAGAATATTATTTAGCATTTTAGCATGAATTTCACCTGCTCAATAGCTCTGTTGGTTAGAGTGTGGTGCTGATAACACCAAGGTCCCAGGTTTGATCCCCATAAGGTGTGGTTACCAGACGTCCCCGTTTCCCAGGGACAGTCCCCGGATTTACAAATCTGTCCCCGGACAAAACCCATCCCCAGAATGCCCCCGGATTTCATTTAATGTCCCCAGATTTATATTTTGTGTTGTGGATTTATTAGTAGGAAATGAATGTTGCGTGATTGGTTCAACGGCACAAGACACATCATATGGGGACTTCTGGCGAGGCAAAATGGCGGGTGCCATGGCAGTGAGCAGCTCCTGAAGCCAGCCAGAACCAACTGTGCTACCAGACTGGCTCTGGGCTGCTGAGACTGCCGCTGCCACCACCACTGCCGAGGGGGAACTGGGGACGCCTGGCATGTCAACTGGGGGAACTGCTGACACACACAGACACACACACACCACGACCCAAATCAAGCTGGGCACAAGAGCACCCGGCCAACTGCCCAGCAGCGCTCCAGGGCTGGGAAAACCCCAGAGCCAACGCAGGGAGAAGGAGGAGAGGAGAAGGAGAAGGAAGAGAGAGAAAGAGGAAGGAGAAAAAAGAGTGGAGCCCCGACCTTGCCGCTCCACTGTCGCCGCTCAGGAAAAGAGGTAGGAGATCACCGGGAGGGCAAGGACACTTGGCTGAGCCCAGCCTACTCCACCACAGCTAGCACTCCAAGAGAGCAGGCCAGGGCCCAGAGGAAGGCCACATGACAGAGGAGACCACAGGAGAGAAGATATTACTTCTTAATTTTTTTTAATAACTTTTTTCCTCTTTTTTTTTTAAGTGTCCCCGGATTCTTTGAAAAAAATCTAGTAACCTTACCATAGGGGACAGCTGCATATTCCTGCATTGCTGTAGGTTGGACTAGATCCGTGGTGGCAAAACTTTGGCACGCGTGCCGTTTCCCCAGCAGGAGAAGGGCTCTGGCACGGGTCCAAAGCCTGCAGCCCTGGTGTCGTAGCTTCCATGCCAGGGGTAGGGGTGGAGGGAAGAAGAGAGGCAGGCTGGGTTAGGGTTAGGGTCAGGGTCAGTGTTGTTTTATGTTTTCTTGTGATATTGATTCATTTGCGGTTGGTTTGCTTTTTTCAATTTGTTGTGTTGCTGCTTTTTCACGAGTTGCAAGTTCGTTGGTTTTCTGGAAATTTTCAGATTTTATTTTGAATGCACCCTGCGGTCCCAGTGCAGTCACCACCACCGCCCCCCTCCGACCCCCAGCCTGCTCCACCTCTGAGAGATGCCTGTCTCCACTCCTGCTTGCAGGCAAGTAGGAGTGGGATCGGGCTGCTCCACTAGGCAACGTTGCTGCTTGCATGCACAGGAACAGGAGCTGGATAGGGCTGCTCAGCTGGGAGGTGCAGGCTCTGTCACATTTTCCATTGAAAGGTTCAGAGCCCAGAAGCCTCCACTCCACTTCTGAGAGATCCCCACCTCCATTCCTGCTTGCACACAAGTAGGAGTGCGATTGGGCAGCTCAGCTGAGGAGCGCCTGGCTGCCTTCAGGTGGTGCAGGGGCTCTCAGATGCAGCTTCCGGGCTGCCTTCACTTTCTCCAACCCCAGCAACTATTCAGCCTGGCTGCCTTCATGGGATTGCAGGGAATCTGATGTTGAGGTGGGGGCTCCTTTAAACTTCTCCCTTGAGTGCAGCTGTGAACCCCTCAATGGAAAGTGTGATGGAGCCTGCACCTCCCCAGCTGAGTAGCCCCGATCCAGCTCCTGTTACCGTGCAAGCAGCAATGCTGCCTAGCGGAGCAACCCAATCCCACTCCTACTTGCTTGCAAGCAGGAACAGGCTGCGGGGGGGGGGGGGCGGACATCCCTTGCCTCCTCAGTTTGCCACCCGGCCCGCCTTCCCTCACTAGGAAAACGAAGTGCAGCACTCAAAATAGAAGTTATACTCAGAACAGAGCACATTCAGCTTCCGAAAAAAGTTCCAAAACAGGAACACTCATTTCTGGGTTTGAAATGTTCAGGTTCCAAGTACAGTGGTACCTCGGGTTAAGAACTAAATTCATTCTGGAGGTCCGTTCTTAACCTGAAACTATTCTTAACCTGAAGCACCACTTTAGCTAATGGGGCCTCCCACTGCCACCACACGATTTCTGTTCTCATCCTGAAGCAAAGTTCTTAACCGGAGGTACTATTTCTGGGTTAGCGGAGTCTGTAACCTGAAGCATCTGTAACCTAAAGTGTCTGTAACCCAAGGTACCACTGTAGTTTGAGAACTAAGCTGTTCGAAAACTAAGGTACCACTGTATTTATTTTCCCCAATTTGAAATGTATTTATTCCCCGTCTCCCACCCCCCACCCCCGGTGATTTTCTTGAGTCAAAATGAGAGTACTTCTAAACATTTTTAAAGGGGAAAAAAGCACTGAATTATAGCATAAAATTATATATCAATGGAGAGATAATTTAATGAAGAATGTAATGCAATAACTTTTATGAAGGATTGTTTTTTACAACAGCAGTCATAAAGAAGAAACATGAAACACAGAAAAAAATTGAGATATACAGGTTAAATTGCCATGTTGGCACTTTGCAATAAATAAGTAGGTTTTGGGTTGCAGTGATGGTGAACCTTTTAGATCTCTAAAGGATTCACCATCACTGGACTAGATGATCCTCAGGGTCCCTTCTATATATATATTTCCCTATATTCTTCTAATACAGTTTTCTGCATGCAATCTTCCCCAATGGCCACATTTTTGCAAAGCCATTTTCCCCAACACAGTGCATTTCCACACATTATTTTCACCCTGGTATATGCATTTCACTTAACTGGAGAACAGCACAGCAAAATTCAGAGAAGTGCACGCTTTGAATGGTTACAGTGTTTGGTCTGTACATTTTTCTTCCGGAAATCATGAATTAGGACGGTTCCACTTTAAATATAAACTGCATCATAATTCTCCCCCACCCGCTACCCATCACCACCCAGGAGTCCAGCTTCAAAAACTCATGTGCTTCCATCTCACACTATTAAAAGACATCCCAGTAAAAGTATAATTACTACGTGCTAAGAATTTGTCACTAAAGGCACCATTTAATAGCTTTTGCGGTGACAAGAACTGGGGGGGGGGGGGAGAGAGACCATCTTAAGTTTGTTAAAATATTAAACACTCTACAAGTGAAGCAGCGTGTATAATTTGTAATATTTACACTTTTACATAACAGGCTTAGGGGAGAAAACAAATTACATAAAAATCCATTGAGTTTGATTGTAAAGTCATTTCACTACTTTTACATAAATAATTAAATTCTGTTTACAAGATTATATTATTGCTGGTGTGCAGTTTCTCCACAAGAACTGTGTCAGGTTGCAGGGGGAAATTAATGCTTACAGGTTTATGTGTATGCGAAGAGAGGAACTTGTTAAATATACATAAGATTGAAGCGGAGTAAATTATTGAAGAATGTATGCTCAAAAATCAGCACCATTTTTATTTTTATTTTATCACGGAGATGCCCGCTGTAGCTCTTCAGATGAGGGAAAGTTGCCTTTCCCACTTCAAAAAGGAATAACACAGTTTATTTATTTATTTTATTATATATCCTTTAAGGAAAAGATACGCCACACTTCACCGGAAGACAACGGGGCGGTTGACAGCATAGTAAGCAGCATATAGCAGCCATACAAAGCAAGTGCTTAAAAACAATTACCTCAGCGCAGCTCACAATAAAGCAGAAGCATAAAATGGTTCGTAAATTCATTCCATCGTCGCAGTTCCCTCACCCCAAAGGTTGACAAAAGAGGTGTGTCTTAACTCACAATGCAGGTAAGCACACCACAATGGGCACCGCATTCCACAGTCGTGGACCCACCACAGAGGGAAAAAACACACATTTGATTGGGCCTGGAAAACAACTGGCAACCAGGGTAGTTATTTCTAAATCAGAGTTATATCTCCTCAGCCCACATCTCCTGTCAACATGGGCCATTGCATTTTGCAATGTCTTCAAGGGCAGTCTCACACAGGGTGAATTGCAGTAGTCTAGATTGGAGGGTACCAGAGCATAGGTGTCTGAAGGCAGGCTATATGGGGAAGGTCACAGCTGGCACAGCATCGGAAGCTGGGCATAGGTATTCCTAGTCACAGAGGCCAACCACATTATAAATAAGTGCATTTTGGCCACTATACCCTCAGGACCACACTGGGGTGTGTATGTTTGGACTCAGTGGATTATGTGGAAGTCAAAGGAATCCTTTTATTTGGTGGTTGAAAGGAGACCAGATGACTGGTTTTTGTTTTTTTTAATCTACTTTTAAAAAAAAATACAGAGCAAGTAATGTTGTACAGTAATACTTTGGTTCGCTGAAGAATTGATGCTTTTGAATTATGGTGCTGGATGAGTCTCTTGAGAGTCCCATGGACTGCAAGAAGATCAAACCTATCCATTCTGAAGGAAATCAGCCCTAAGTGCTCACTGGAAGGACAGATCCTGAAGCTGAAGCTCCAATACTTTGGCCACCTCATGAGAAGAGAAGACTCCCTGGAAAAGACCCTGATGTTGGGAAAGATGGAGGGCACAAGGAGAAGGGGACGACAAAGGACGAGATGGTTGGACAGTGTTCTCGAAGCTACCAGCATGAGTTTGACCAAACTGCAGGAGGCAGTGGAAGACAGGAGTGCCTGGCGTGCTCTGGTCCATGGGGTCATGAAGAGTCGGACATGACTAAACAACAAACAACAATACCTTGGTTCTCGAACTTAATCCATTCTAGAAGTCCGTTCGACTCCCGAAACTGTTCAAAAGCCAAGGCACGGCTTCTGATTGGCTGCAGGAGCTTCCTGCACTCAAGCGGAAGCCACCTCAGATGTTCAGCTTCCAAAAAATGTTCACTTCCGGGTAAATGCTTACTTCTGGGTTTGCGGCATTCGGGAGCCGATTTGTTCGGCAACTAAGCCATTCAAGAACCAAGGTACAGTTGTACCTTGGATCCCAAACGCCTTGTGAGTCGAATGTTTTGGCTCCCGAATGCCGCAAACTCAGAAGTGAGTGTTCCGGTCTGCAAACATTCTTTGGAACTCGAACATCCGACGTGGCTTCCATGGCTTCCGATTGGCTGCAGGAGCTTCCTGCAGCCAATCGGAAGCCATGCCTTGGTTTCTGAACGCTTTGGAAGTCAAACGGACTTCTGGAATGGATTTCATTCGACTTCCAGGGTACCACTGTATTACTGTATTGCATGTTTACTTGAAAGCAGACAGGTTTTCCTTTTGGTGTCACTTGAGTTTAATTTTTTTGTTTAGCTGTAAAAGCTCAGGTCAAGTCTGAAACAACTTTAGAATTAATGCAGTTCTTATTCTTAACTCCACATTGGCTTCTTTAAGATAAAGAGCCTGAAAGCTGTTAGCCCAAAGGATAGCATAAGGCTGCCATAATAATGATGGAAAGTTTTAATCCTGAGCTGGACCCAGTTCTGTAATTTTAAATAAATTTGCACCGGCTCTAAGATCATCACTCTCTAGTCCTCAGAGCAGCGGAGGGTCAAGAGATGGAGATTGCGATGGGGACAAGCAACAAAATCCTTCTTCGTGGCATGCTCTTGTTCAAGAGCATGCCATTTTCCTGGATATTTCATTCTGTTCCCCATCCCACCTGGTTTGTTTCCCCAAATGCATCAACCATCAACACTCTATTTCAAGAGAAGAATGTACACAGTTATTTTTTTTAAAAAAATGATATTTATTAAAGGTTTAACAGTTACAGAAAAAAGAAAAAAACAATAATAAATTACAATGCTTCAAAAATAAAAAGCACAGTAAAAGAAAAAAAAGAAAAAACACAATACAACAAAACAATAATAAAAGCAAAAACATTTAAAAAACAAAAACATTTAAAAATGTATACCGTATTTCCATATCTTTATCTTTCATTTACTTGTTTCATCGACCTCCTCACACCTCCCTTTTTTGTATTCTAATTCAAATAGCTATTTCAGCAAATCCTTTCCATCTTTCTCAATTTTTGTTCTATAATTTATCTTAACCTAATTTGGCTTTAAATTCTACACTTTGACCCATTAACAATCCATTTTTACTTAGTTCTTTATAACCTTTCTACTAAAACCATGTAACTTCATTCCAGCATCCTTCTAAGATTCACTAATTTTGCAATGTTTCTGTAAATATATTTTGAATTTTTTCCAATCTTCTTCCACCGACTCTTCTCCCTGGTCTCGGATTCTGCCAGTCATTTCCGCCAGTTCCATGTAGTCCATCAGCTTCATCTGCCATTCTTCCCGAGTGGGTAGATCTTGTGTCTTCCAATGCTTTGTGATGAGTATTCTTGCTGCTGTTGTAGCATACATTAAAAAAGTTCTATCCTTCTTTGGCACCAATTGGCCGACCATTCCCAGGAGAAAGGCCTCTGGTTTCTTCAGAAAGGTATATTTAAATACCTTTTTCATTTCATTATAAATCATCTCCCAGAAGTTCTTAATCCTTGGGCATGTCCACCAAAGGTGAAAGAATGTACCTTCAGTCTCCCCACATTTCCAACATTTGTTATCAGGCAAATGATAGATTTTTGCAAGCTTGACTGGTGTTATGTACCACCTGTAAATCATTTTCATTAAATTCTCTCTTAAGGCATTACATGCCGTAAACGTCATACCTGTGGTCCATAACTGTTCCCAGTCAGCCATCATAATGTTATGTCCAACATCTTGTGCCCATAAGAATGTACACAGTTATGCTTTGTTGAGGCCTGTCTGACAGCAACTGAAAATGTGTTCCACAAAACTGAGCCCAGACTACTGAATGCAATAATAATAAATAAATAAATTACAAATAAATAATTTATAAATAATTTAACAGATAATAATTTATTTATACCCTGCCAATCTGGCTGGGTTTATCCAGCCACTTCATTCCCCAGCAGAATATTAGTAAGAATAAAAAATCAATAAAACATCAAACATGAACAACGACCCTAAACAGGGCTATCTTCAGATGTCTTCTAAAAGTCAGATAGTTGTTTATTTCTTTGACATCTGATGGGAGGGCATTCCATAGGGCAGGTGCCACTACCGAGAAGGCCCTCTGCCTGGTTCCCTGTAGCTTCACTTCTCGCAGTGAGGGAACCAGCAGAAGGTTCTCAGAGCTGGACCTCAGTGTCCTGGCTGGACGATGGAGGTGGAGACGCTCCTTCAGGTATACAGGGCCGAGGCCATTTAGGGCTTTAAAGGCCTACATTGGCTCCCAATAAGTTTCCTAGCACAATCCAATTGTGCTAGGAAACTTATTGGGAGCCAATGTAGGCCTTTCAGGACCGGTCTTATATGGTCTCAGCGACCACTCCCAGTCACCAGTTTAGCTGCCACATTCTGGATTAGTTGTAGTTTCCAGGTCACCTTCAAAGGTAGCCCCACATTGAGCGCATTGCAGTAGTCCATGTGGGAGATAACTAGAGCATGCACCACTCTGGTGAGACAGTCCGCGGGCAGGTAGAGTCTTAGCCTGCATACCAGATGGTAGACAGCTGCCCTGGATACAGAACTGGCCTGTGCCTCCATAGACCGCTGTGAGTCCAAAATGCAAGATGCCTGGTGGATATGAGCCATGTATCCAAGTCATGGGGGACCATTACCCATGACACCCCTGAAGACCACTGTGATCCGGCAGGGATATAATAAGTCATGTGGTCCCTAAGATATCCTGGACCCAATTTGTTAGGGGCCTTGTAAATTGATACAAGGACCTTGAACCAGAATCTTGTGCAAGACCTCCTCAACAAATTCAGCACCACTTGCTATTGTGACTACGTGAGAGGTCATAAGTAGCCTCGAGAGATACCTAATTATCCACGGAGCATTTTCAGGCCTGTATACTGACCATTCCACCCCCACACCCGCCTGTGTAAGAAATTGTGTTGTTTATGGAGCCAAATTGCAGTGTTTTAAATCCTCATTAGCAATGTGCTTCTCCGGAGCAGAAAATAAAGTTACTCTCTCTTTGAAGGAGGACGCCCTCAAAAGCCAAATTGATGGAGAAAACACGATTCGTGCCTGTATCCATTAACGCGAGACAGTTTTAGTTCTATCTGTCACTCAGGGAGAAGAAAAAGAATCAAAATATTTAATTCTTCCCTTGGCAACAAACAGAGTTTGCTGCTTATCAGCATGACTATTAATAAGTGGATAGACGCCTTTAAAGATGATTCCTAATAACAATCCTGTAAAACAGCAGCATCTTGTCATAAGAAAGTAATTATATAGGAAAGAATTCTAAGGCCACCTCTAGTGGCTGCTTTTTATAAAAGACATTGAAGATGCTGCGGAAGTTTAGGGTAAACAATTCCACTGAAAAAGCCAGTTGATGGGGAATTCTTCATTCTGTCAAATATAGCCATGTGACAAGACCCCAAGTTCCTGTATGCAGAAATACCACACATCACCTTGGGATTCTTTTATTTACTACACTTTTATCCTGTCCTTCCCAGAAGCGCAGGGGTGGGACATGGATTTGCCCCATCTTTTATTTTCACAATAAATCTGTGAAGTAGGTTATGCCATGACCTCAGAGTCCAGCAGCTATCAAGCCCTATCTGCACTATAAAGTGGTACCATACCATTTTAAATAGTCATGGCTTGCCCCACAGAATTCTGGGGAGGGTAGTTTGTTAAGGGTGCTGCAACAAGTTGCTGGGAGACCCTTATTCCCCTCACAGAGCTATAATTCCTAGAGTTCCTCGGGAAGAGGGATTGCCTGTTAAATCACTCAGAGAATTGTGGCTTTGTGAGGAGAATGGGGTCTCCTACCAACTCTCGGCACCACTAAACTACATTTCCCAGGGTTCTTTGGGGGAAGCCATGGCATTCAAATTGGCATAATAGTGCTTTAAATGTATAGTGCAGATGGGACCTCAGAGTCACAGACTGCAGATGCTTCAGGTAGGGAGCTGGATTGGATTCAGGACTCTGAGCCTCACATGGACAGACAGGAACCCACAGAACAACTATATCGCCAGGGCTTACAGGACCAGAGCCCAGACCATCATTGTTATGTACTGAAGTTCTCACCCTGGGCCAGCAGGGGGATACTGTAGATAGTTTTCACTCAGGTCCACATATGCAAATAAGGAATTGAAAGTGACGTTCAGTGATTGGATAGTTACAGAAAGTTGTTACTGTTGCTTTGTAGTTGAGCTCTATATAAGCAGGTTGGCTGAACCCTTCTGTTTAGTTCTGTTCTGGCCAGTGAATAAACAAGAGCTGTGTCGTCTGATATGTTCACCCACAACTTAACAATCACGGACAGCTAAACCTAAGGAACCAAAGGCCTCACTCAGTACTTCACAATTTCAGTGGCACAATGGGTGCATCAAGCACAAGGACCACAGTGACCATCTTCAGGCCA